AAATCGGAACAGGGGTGGGGGGTTATAGGATCCTATATAAGAAAAAGATCCAAAAATCGGGACTGCCCCTATAAAATTGGGACATCTGGTTACCCTAATTATATTCTCCATGTTATTATACTGGTTCTACTATTTTGTCATGTTATTTTGATTGGTCCTACTGATGAGTCAGTGGCAAGGGGTTCCCCATTTATCTTTGAGAAGAAGTAAGTGTGGCATCTCCTGGATTTTGTCAAGAAGGTTTCTCATGTATAATGCCTGATGTTAAGAGATGAGATAGTAGAGAGGGCTCTTTGCTTGTTACTTTGATAGCCTCTGTTTTTATTCTCATTGTTCCATTCAGTTGTACATCGACTACCCTGTTGGAAGAGTTTAACCACACAGGAGCAGAGAGAGGCAACTGAGAAGCAGAGAGCTAGTGCCAAGCTACCCAGTGTTTGTGCATTAGCTGCGCAAGTCACGCACACAAACTTACTTATTCATTGTGACAAGCAGAACAGGAAAGAGCTGCTCCCTTTGTAAGAAACTCCTTCCTCATCATTCAGCCAGGAGAGAGACTGCCTGGCTTTGAGCTGCCATGTTATCTCTGGTGCAAGCTCAGCCATTTCAGATGCCACGGGGTAGTGTGTGCAGCCAATGACCACATCTGGGGACTCAGCAACAGCCCTTTGTGTAACTGAGGTGTGGTTGAGCATGCTATACACCTGATGAATGAGCTGCTCATCTGATGCTGGTCTATCAAGAGGACTTCAAGACCCTACACAGAGTACCCCACAACTACTGAATGATAAATGGGTTTCCCTGAGCCCATGTGACATTTTTTCTTTTTTGTTTGTTTGTTTTGAGTTACACATCTCTGTTTCTACTCCCTACTTTGTATTTTGAACTTTTTTCCATCTTTATTGTACCACTTGCGCATTTGGTAATAATAATATGTTATTTTGATATTTTGTTGAATTGCCCACAGTAGACTTTTATGACACACCTACAGGGACAAGATAGAACTGAACAGTGAAATGATGTGAAGCAACATAGCACACATCCTGGCCGTCATTGGTCTGATCAGATATCATGTATCAAATCAGATGGAAGATAACCAATAATAAGAGAAGAGAGAGTTTAGAAATTGAGGGAGTAGTAATAGTCCAGCACTTCCTCCTAAAGAAAATGTCCTAGTACTGTCATGCCATAGAAAGTTAAAGACTAAATTAAGAAAAATTCAAAAGAAACATTTTTAGTTGTAATTTGCAGATTTGTTGAAATCAACACATTCCGCAGGACCATGTCAATTCTGAGGAATTGCTGCCAGAAACCAGGCGGATTTTCAACAGACTCTTACCTGCCAGACAGTTGTCAAAACCTGACTGGTGCCTACCTTGCTCCTCAGCAGCCTGCTTGGTGGGCTGATGGGGAGCCAAGAGCCCAAAAGCCCTAGCTCCTAAGTTCGGGGCCCCTTAGAAGTCCAGGTTTCCAGGCTACAGGACAGCTTCCCAGATGGACTGCCCTGAAGCCAGGGCTCTGACTAGAGACGAGCAGAGAACGGTAATTCCGATTTGTGGAGAATTTGGGGCTTTTACACTGAATCGGAATGTAACCACATTTTGAAATCTCTAAATCCTCCATGAAACAGAGTTCCCATTCCTTGCCCAGCTCTAATTAAGATCTGGGTGAATAACTGATTTTTCAGTTCTGAAAAAAATTGGGGGGGAAAGAAAGAGTTTGGATCAAACCAAATTGGAAAAGTCAGTTTTGGGTCAAATGAAATAATTTGTTTGATCCCAAACATTTTGTTTCTGCACCTTTTTAAGGGCTATATTATGAAATTGCAGAAGGAGGAGGAGATAAAAGTGGTACTTCCCTTATAAGCTGTAGCCTAGTAGTAAAGGCACTCACCTCATATGGGAGACCAGGGTTCAATTCCCCTCTCTGCCTGTTATGAAGATGGCATTTGAACTTGAGTTTCTGACATTAAAGGAGAGTGTCATGGCTACGGGGTATTCTGATATGGAGCTCTCTCAATCACTCCAGTTGAACAATACAAAGTGGAACAATTTAACATAAGAGATTGGGAAATATCCACATCAGAGTATCTGTGGCTGGGGCACTGTCCTGAAATGCCATAGACTCAAGTTCCAATCCCTTCTCCACATCAGGAAGAGGGGGAACACAATATGGGTCTCCCCCATTCCAGGAGACTGGGCTAAAACTTACAAGGAAGGGATTGGTACCACCACTCTCCTCCTTCTCTGGCTAATTTCTGAATGGCATCTCAGTCCCCCCCAATTTTTTTTTTTGGCTAAAATTATTTGGTGCATTTGTACATATTCATGAAAATTCATGAATTTTGGTGCCCACAAAATACATTTTTGGCAAATTTAATATTTGCTGAAAATAATTCACTCAACTCTAATTAAAACGCAAAACGAGGATGATTGCTGCTATATA